TAGGGTTTAGGGTTTAGGGATGTGGCGCTGTGGAATGCACCACCTACGCCTTAACCCCCAAGTATAACCCTCAAAGACTAAAGAAACCCTAAACCCCTAACCTGAAACTCCCAACCCCGAATCTCCTCAACCGTAATTCTCAGGAACCCTGCACCTAGAACCTCGTGGGTTTGCAAACTACTGTTATCCGTGCGAGCGAGTCCTCATGGGAAACGCCTGGACTAAGAGGGAACCCGAACCCCTCTTGCCTGTAATGAATCAGAAACAGTTTTTACCAGGAGGAACCCTAAACCCGGAACATGTCTCAGTTGAGCTCGATATCTGCTAAGGGTAAGGCTTAAAGTTTCACGGGTTTCGGGGTTGACGGTTTAAACGCCACATTTTCCGCGAGAGTGGTTCTTCCAAGCAAAAACACAAATGAGCATTTTACCTGGCAGAAGGCAAAACCGGAATCATATGTTTCACCTGGACATGAGCAGGACGCAACAAACACTCGCCGTGGCTAATAACCCAAGCTGTTATTTGATACATATACCCTAACTGTGCAAGCGCCCCCCCAACTAGTAAGCTACGAAACTACTTCCCCCTAAAATGGTGTGCATTCCACCATTACTGTAAAGCCCCCAGAAAAACTCAACAAAACCTTGTCAGGATCCGTATAGAACCTTCTTGCGTCCTTTTCACCCTTAGGATAACACCCTAAACCCCTGAACCGATTAGGTTTCAGGGTTTAGGGGGTTTAGGGTTTAGAACTTAGGGGTAATGTAGGGGCCTTAATAATTAGAATAGGGTTTTGGCGCCCATTATACTACAATGTTAATAAGGAGCCCGCAAGATAATATCGGTAGCTATGTAGGTCCCTATATTAGCCTAAACCCTAAACCCTACACCCTAAACTCTAAACCCTAAAACCTAAACCCTACACCCCCTGAACCCTAAACCTCCTAAACCCTAAACCCTACACCAGCAAGACTGCAGCTGAAGGTGCCAAAGTCCTCGGCGTCCAGGGCAAACTCAGTCAGCTCCCAGCCCAAGCTTGCCAGCGCCTCTGTCTAGGTCTGTTAGGGTTCATAGGGATTTAAGGGCTTTTTAGGGATTTAGGGCTTTAGGGCTTTAGGGGTTTAGGGTTTAGGGCTTTTAAGGTTCATAGGGATTTAGGGGTTTAGGGCTTTGAGGGGTTTAGGGGTTTAGCGGTTTAGGGCTTTAGGGTTTTAGGATTTGGGGCTTTTTTTGTTTTGGGTGGTTGAGGGCTTTAGGGTTCGCGCACGTCAATACCTTTCTAACACCGCATAGCCACCCTACAGAAAGCTTATCTTCCACAATCCTCCATATAGCGACATGTGAACGCACAACTCCAAACCTAAACCCACAAACCTTTGGAAACCCTCTACTCACCCCCAAACCCCGAAGCGCTCCAACCCTCTTCGTCGAAGCCATAACTCCAACCTTAAACCCCCCCCAGCATCGAAAGGCCTACGCCGCCAAAGCTTATACCCTAAACACGTAAACGGCTAAACGCTCAACGCCTAAACACCTAAACCCTGCATCAACAAGGCAATACCGTAAACCCTACACCCAAACCTAAAACCCTAAACCCTAAACCCTAAACCCTAAACCCTAAACCCTAAACCCTAAACCGTCCTAAACTGTCTTAAACCCTAAACCCTGAGCCCAGTTTGCTGCCAAAGAGCTTGCACGAGACGGCGGCGGCATTCCGAACGCTCCTTGGGCGTCGGCTCGGGGACTCTTGGGCTGCTCTGTCTTAGCGTGGTGCTCTGTGCTTTTGGCCTTCAGGCTGCTTTGGAGGCTGTCAACTTCCGTGCTTTTCCCCAAAGCCCCATGTTCCCAAATAGGATATACTAGTATATACTTAGGCGTCAAAGCATCTCTGTCTGTAGGAACTCCTGTAAGGCCTAAGAAAAGACTATGTAGGTCACTAAGGGTATGAGAGAGTGCGTGCTCTAGGGTTCTGGCATCTACACGGGTTGTATGAAGTTTTCATAGGGTTCTCTAAATGCTTAGGGGTTTAGGGTCAGGACTCTCGCATAGGATTCATGGATGTTCTTGGGAGCTCCGTGTATGGTATGACGCGGAGTTCAGAACTCGTTGTCCACGGGCATACCTTTCCGCAAACATGAGAAAGCTTGGAAACTCGACCCGGTCTGGTTGAGACGTCCTTTCAACCAACCAGCACACACACACAGACACGTTCCTCCACGGATTCTCGTAAGAGCGGCACTGACGTTGGCTGCACATTGCGGGAAACTGGGAGGTTGGGGGTCCGAGAAGCTCATGTGTGCTTGGGACCTCAGAATAAACATCCGATTATGATTCCTGGTCAGGCCTCTGGTTGCTTTCTGGTTCTGCAACCTTCGTTTTATGACAATCGTGAAGTGTACCCATAGGCCCCATAGATGTTGCTTTTTGTTGTTTGTATTTAGGATTCCATTAGGTAATCCCCAAAAGGAACTACTATGGGGCTTCTGGGTAAGGATAAGCCCTAAACAACAACCTCGCCTACGTGGAATGCTTTCCAAAGCAAGGCGGGAGGCGAAACCGATGACGTTCTCCAGCAATATTCGGCGCGGAGGATGATGCATCCTTGCTTGGAGAAGTTAGCCATTGAGCTTGTTTTAGGGATGGGATACAGCCTGCTTGAAGTTAACTAGGCAGAAGAGCTATCTATGACCCGATGATAAAAGACACCCCCACCCACCAACCCCCACGACCGAGCATGTTTGTACATCTAGGTTATAGCAGTACCTGTATCAACGACATCGACCTTCCACGAACCGATTCCGAGTGCCTCCCGACACCCTGAACCCAGGTTTGTGATGGATCAAGCAGTTCACGCCATCAGGTCTTCGCGTTTTCTGGAGAGATAGAGTAGAGGGTTGAGGGTTCCTGCTTAAGGTACGAAGCACTTGTTTCAAGGGTTTCTGTTGACTTGACAAACATCACCCTCAGCCCTGCGACGAAAAGCCAAACACCAAGCTTCAACGTTTTCCTTCATTGCTTCCAGCACCCGGTGCCGACAAGTGCCCCCCCCGTAAGCGCTAAGCCTAAACATCCCCTAAAGCCTCGAAACATCTAAAGAGTAAAGCTGTGATTTTAATACCCAGATATCACCCTTACAGCAACCTTTATTGGCCGTAGATTCCTTAAAGAACACTAAAACCCTAAACCCTCAATCCGCCCGACAAAGCAACCTCCAATCTGAAACCCTAAACCCTAAACCCTATAAACCCTATAAGCCCTATAGGGTTTAGGGTTTAGGGTTTAGGGTTTAGGGTTTAGGGTTTAGGGTATAATTAAGCCCTATAAACCCTACAACCCTAAACCTAAACCCTAAACCCTAAACCCCAAACCGTCGGGGCGTCTCCGGGAGCAGGCTGACCAAGTGGAGCAGCCCACGGGACCTCCCCGAGCTTGAATTTAGGGTTTAGGGGTTTCGGGTTTAGGGTTTAGGGTTTTAGGGTTTAGGGGTTTAGGATTCTAAGCTGTTCACTAACCAACTGGGAAAAAGTATATACTTTTTTGGGTTAGTTATATTATATCAGGAACCAATGCCCACAAAAAGTAAAAAGGATACTACTGAACATCCTAGGATTTATAGGGCTTACAGTGCTTCTAGGGTTTATAAGGTTTAGGGTTTAGGCCTTATAGGGCTTATAGGGTTTAGGGTTTCGGGCTTATAGGTTTAGGGTTTGCAGGATTTATAAAGTTTATAAGGCTGACAGGGTTTATAGGGTTTAGGATTTAGGGTTTGCAGGGCTTATAGGGTTTATAGGGCTTGGGGTTTATGGGGTTGGGGAAGCTTAAGGATTCTTGGGGTCAGGTTTGTTCTTTTTGATCGACACCTTTCCATCAGCCTAACCAGCATTAAGAATTCCTTAAAAAGTAGAGCCATGTCTAGAGGATGTAGTTCTGCAAGGAAGCATACTGCAACTCACAGATTTTGGGTTCAGGGTTCACGGTCGAATTCTCTGCGAAGGTTGCTATAAGGGTTGCAAGACTGGTGCTGTCAGGGTTCCAAGTGTTCAGGGCGTAGGTTTTGGAAGGCCTTAAGGACCCTAAACCCTAAACCCTAGGGTTTGGTTCAGGGCTTAGGGGTTTTGGGGTTTAGGGGTTTAGGGGCTTAAGGGGTTTAGGGGTTTATGGGTTTACGGGTTTAGGGTTTAAAGAGGTTTTTGAAGCTTGGGGTGGAAGATCCTGGGTTCTCACGCTTTAGGGCTCAGGGCTCACGGGTGGCTACTCGAGTTGGAGGCGGTAGGACTGAAGTGCCAGGGCCTTCCCAGATCTTCCAATATTGGGAGTTTCCGAAAACAAGGGGGGGGTACCTTTTTGGGGGGTCCTTATAACGAGGGTCCTACTATTTCGGGTACTATATGAGGGCCCCCTATTTTCGGAAACCACCACATCCCTTAATGGAGGAATATGCTTCAAATCAGATGGGGGATCCGATTTTGACTCTGGGTCTTGGGATGTTGTGCCGCTTCCAGAGTTCATCTTGCAAAGTATTGCTGCTAAGGTCATAGGTTTACGTTGATGGGAGTCAATGCTGCAGATTCGAATCCCTAACTCTCAGATACTTCGCATTAAATACACGGCTCAACGCCCTCTACACGACTGCACCCTAAAACCTCGACCGGTGGCCAAACCATGCAACCGGCAACCTCAATCCCAAACCTTAAACTCAAAGCCTAAACCCCAAACATTAACAGGCTTAAACCCTAAACCCCAACACCTCACACCCTCAAGCCTAAGCCAAAGCCCGAAGCCTACAATCCTGCACCCCAGTCTCGAAATGCCTTCAAACCCGAACGGAAACTCGGGCAGGAATCATGAAATTTATGGCGGGGTGGTAGGGCTTCAAACGTTCTTTGTACCATGGGGTATTATAGCGCATTGCAGGGCTTCGGAGGCCTTTAAGGGGGGCATACGGCTTTCTGTGGTCTTGTAGAGCTTTGCAAGCCGCCCTAGGTGTCTGCATGGTCAATACTTTTGGGATGTCCTCCGTTTAGGGGTTTAGGGTCTATACACCTCACTGAAGAACCTGGTTCCTAACCCTACACCTTAAACTTTAAACCTTAAACGTTAAAACCTACCCTCCACCCAAGCCCCAAACCCGAGAGTCCTTCACAGTCACCGAACCCCACATCTTAACAACCCGAGAAAGCCCGTGCTTCATGTCGGCAAATGTCGAAATCATGGTCCTTCCGGGAACTGAAAAAATTCTAGGCCTAACACGGCACCCTAAACCATATGACAACCACCCATGCGAAGATGCCTGTCATCCTCGTGGTCTTTCCTTATCAGTGGGCTGTGAGCAGTTTGGGTTTAGGGTTTAGGGTAGTGGTGGTGAAGGGATGGGGGTTTGAGGCTTTGTGGGCACTAGTTTAAATCAAAGGTCCAGGGTTTAGGGTCTATTGCAACGGTTGAGGTGTAAATGAGTTGTGCAAGGGCTTGCCAGTGGGTAAACCCTAAACCCTAAACCCCAATCCCTAATTGACGGCTAAAGCTTCGACTCTTAAAGGCGAAGGCTTTGGGTCTTTGTTGCTAACCCTGAACCCTAAAAACCCCGAAGCCTAAACCCTGAACCCTAAGGTTTGTGAAATAATTCTCTGCTTGACCTGGTGGCGCTGTTGGTTGAGAGACCTAGCATGTGGGATCGCTGTGCCTCCAAGCCACCAATGACTAATGATGAGCTCTAATATAAGGACGCTGCAAAAAGGGGCTTAAGTGGTCGGGTGCGCGACGGTTTGATGTTGATAATCTTCTCGAATCTATGGGGCTTACAGTATTCGGGTTGTTGAGCCGCCCCACCCCAAGAATGCGTCTAGGGCTGACAGTGTCTGGACTAGTATCCCGAACCCCAAACCCTAAACCCTAGACCCTAAACCCCCATAGACCCTACATCCTAAACACCTATCCCTCTCCGGTCTGCTGGTCCGCGTGGACTCAGCTATCTCGGCCTGCGGCCTGTTGGATGGGTGCAGACACTGCCACAGCGGCCCTGGCGATGGACAGTATGTTCGTTCCGGGTTGTAGGCTTCCGAGTCTTCCATCACCCATGCATAAGCGATCTGATACGGTATGGAGCTGGGTTCTGTTTGGTGCTTCTCTAGGCTTTCCGGCCGGAGTAGGAAGTTCTTCAGGTCTTCTTCCCGGTTGCTGATTGGGTGCCAGCCTCCTTCTTGCCAGATGCCCACGGCGAAAGAATCCGTGAAGGTGACCTCTCCGGCGAGCAGACGGCCAGGGCGAAGCGTCCCCGCTTGCGTAGGTGGGATCCCCGGATCTCCCACGTCTTGTGAGCTGCGAAGATCCGAGTGGCCCAGCGGCGCTTTATCACCAAGCCCTGCTTCGGCATCTCGTGGACTTTCTGCTCCATTGCTGTGCCGCCAGACACGAATGCTGGGAGATCCTAGAGAGATAGATTGACAGAGAGGGAGAGAGAGAGAGAGAGAGAGAGAGTCCCTGTCCCTTTCTGCTTCCGAACTCGCGGGAGGCTGTTTTGTGTTTCCTTCGGGCGAGGACTGAACGAATGATCCCGCGCATCGCTTGCGGCGGTTGACCTTGGCGGGGGGGTCGGGCGTGGCCTGGCCTTTGCTGTCATGCTTCGCGGGAGTTTGTTTCTAAGTTGGCGGCGGCTTCGCATCATAAGTCCTGGGGCGTGATCGGCGGAGCAGACGCGATCGAGGCTGCTTGCGACGACCCTGCGCCTCTTCCCAGCAGGCGTGGTCGGTGGCTTCTTCAATTGTTTTCAGCAGGATGTTCTTCTTCAAGGGTGCCTCACGTACCTGCCGGTGTGGGGTTTAGGATTCTTTCGATGGTGCAAAGCTTCCGCCTTCTTGAGTAAGCGTAGGAAGGATGTGCCTTGAAGGTCGTTCTCTTCCTCGGCATTTCGCAGAGGAATGTCAGTCCATCCTCCACTTCTCGTTTTCCCGCCTGTACCTTCAGGACGAGATCCCACCATAGGCCTTCCACCCTCCACGTGGCCAGCAGACCGCCTGGCTTCGTGTTGCCGCGTGCTCTCGCGGAAAGAGTCGCTGAGGGGCTGGCATTTCCCGATGGTGTCCGCGCGTCGGCAGTCAGCCAACCTGGTTTCGAGCCCGTCACACTGGTCTGTTTTAGCTCTTGATGGATTCTTGCCTCGGGCCGACCAGGAAGCGTTCCATTGCGGTGCTGGGATCCATGATTGCTATAGAGTCTGGTAGGGTTGCTACGAGCAGATGTGCTGAGTGAGGGATTGAGTTATCAAGGTGTGGCCGGCTGATATGCTGTTAGGACTGGCACGTGCGCGCACCCATGCTCCAGGCTCATGCTGCGTCTAAAGTCTTTGGCATGCTGTCTTTTTGGTCCTCAAATAAGTGCCGCGCAGCGCCTGCAGCGGTGGACCTTGGCCAGGATCGGGGCTCTCATGGTTTTGTTTTTCCTGCGCCACAGGAGTTGGCTCTGGGAGCGAGGCGGTTCAGAAGTTCTGGACCTCGCCGTCGATCCAACCTCCTGCGTTCCCGTCCTTAGCTGGATATCTGTCTGTCGGGGCAATTACTGCGGGTGACCAGCAGCCCCGACGGTTCGGGTTCCGGTTCGGGTTCGCTGCCTTCCCCGAGCCTTGGCTCGACTTGGCTGGTGCAATTGCGCTGCTGCGCCGCACTCGCTAATCCTTGTCTTGAGATGCGGCCAAAGCGCTGGTGCCGGGCTGGATATGTGCGAGGGGGAGGGTGATGCGTTTGCGAGGGCAGTAAGCCTTGGTCAGGGTGCAGAGTAGATTCGACGGCAAGTTCCAGATGGACGTGACGATTAGACTGCGATCGAGAGGCCCACTGCGTCAGCTC